TGTCCCGTTGCAATCCATAACAGCCCTCCACGCTGTCCACAGCTCGACCAACCTTCGTGTCATCGGCAAACTTACTAACCCACCCTTCCATTTCCTCATCCAAGTCATTTATAAAGATCACAAAGAGCAGAGGTCCCAGAACAGATCCCTGCGGAACACCACTGGTCACCAAGCTCCAAGATGTATACTTTCCATCTAGTACCACCCTCTGTCTTCTATTGGGCAGCCAATTCTGTATCCAGGCTGGGCCAGTTCAGTTTCTGGTCAATGGTAATCTCCAGGATACTGATGTTTGGGCATTCAGTGATGGTAACGCCATTGAATGGTGTGAGTGTTACTCCATTGCATTCTCCCTTTCCTTGCTTCAATTTTCAATGACAGTGTATCACCATCTTGGCCTGAAATGCAGGAACACTATTCCAAAAACCTCCATCCTTGTGATGATATATTATGTTCAAACGCAGTTTCATGCCTCGTGAGTTTCTGTCCATTTATTTAAGTGGACTGAATATGAAGATGTGGAGGCTTACAATTTCCTCACCGTGTTTCCCTCCAAACACTGCTCTTCAGCATACCTACAGATTTTATTAAACTTACATGCAAATAAGGATCAACATGATAATTAAAGAAGATTTGGCCTTGGGTTTCTTCCTAATTAGAGAGCTCGCTTTTCTCTTGTTGCAATGATTTAGGAGTTAGGCATTCTTGAAGTGGCAGACATTTAAAGGTCTTCCTCAATAGGCCACAGCAGCTTCATTGCTAGAAATACATTACAAATTCTGAGTTTATTAGAATCCTAAAATGACTACAGCACAGAAAGAGGCCTTTTGGTCCGTGACTCCATGCTTATTCTCTGGAAGGACAGTTTAGCTAAATGCACTCCCTACAAAATAGAATCAACAAGTAAAGCCATCCCAGCCGGAATCTGAACCCTCAAATCTCTTGTTCCTAAAGCCAGTGCATTATCCAGGAGGTCACTGACGCTGTGTAATATTATCAATTGCAATCCTACAATCTATAAGGTTTTCAAACTAAGAGTTTGACACAAACTAAACTGTACTTCCTGATTTTCTGCCGATTTCCACAGATTACTGCAGGATCAGACAGGTAACTTGGCAATGCAGTCTGTAAGGTGTGGTGGTGAATTTTTTACTCAAGACAGACTTAAGAGATAAATGAGCTGTCCCTTTGAAAGGGTTAACTTGCATCTTTGAAATTTAAGAATACATGTGGAAAACAGTCTTCCATTCTTCCTTTAGTTTTTAGATTTTAAATCACAAAATTTGCCCCTGTTCTTTACTTTCCAGTTCAGCCCTTGTGCTTTTCAACCTTGATGATGTCTTATGCTATGACCTTTGACTGTTCACACTCTATCAAAGTGAAAAGCTTTATTCCCAGGGACAAAAAAAAATCTTAGCATCCATCTTTTTGTTTTTGTCAACAAACGCTGCTATCAAGCCTTCAACTGAAGGAAATAACTAAGGAACAGATGGTATGGGAGCACTGCATACGGGGCGCAGGAAGGAAAAATCATGTAATGAATCACACGTCCAAAAGATTTCTTCTGTTATACTGATTTCAGTGAATATCAATGATATGTGAAGGAGAACTTTATTCAAAGAGTATGGAGTACATTATCTCTGCTGTGTAATCTCAATTCCAGTTACCTAAGCTCTTTCAGTTGAATGGCACATTGAAATGGTGATTAAATTTGTCGTATAAAGAAATTTGAATTTGATGAAACCAGTCTCAGCATCATTTGCATGATCACCATTCAACCAAGCAAATGAGGTTCAAGTGGTCAGTCTGCTACTTATGTGCACATACCATGTATTAATATTATGACGTTTATGCTCATTTCAGCATATTGTACATGCAGAATTACATGTTAACACATGGAACGTTCCAAAATTTGAATCCTGAGAATTATGTTGCCACTTTACTAAATCGTCATGCACTGTCTTTGTGAGAAATAGCCCTTTGTCTTAAGATGCCATTATACAAAGCACCAGCTTACACTACAGCCTCAGTTTTATGAATCCAGTTTAAAAAATGTATTGAGCTGGCCCATGTCACAAATCTGCCTGTGTTGGCATATCTGAGGGCAGAGTGAGTCAAATTTTATGACAGAAGACCTTGCTTTCAACAGGCAACTGTCAGATTGAATAGTTGCCCAGAAAACTTTGCCTCCAGCACATTTAACTGGCAAAAAATAATCAGGACAGACAGGAATCTTCTAAGGACTCTGATTGACCAGCAATAAGGAAGGGATGGTAGTGATCGCACCCAAAAAACTGTATTGATTAATCGCAATCACAACTAAAGAAATGTGGGGGCAATGATACAGGAGGAACAGTTGAATGTCCTACTGTCGGTGACACATTAAAAGGGGTCAGTCATACTGAAGGCCCATTCAACCATTCCTGTCGCAAAACCTCATTTCTCTTCCCTTAAATCATGTGCCATTTGTTTTAGTGTGTGAGTTTGATTTTACTAATTACATAGGCACACTGCCAAGTTCTGTCAGTGGTGCTAAAGCCTCATAAAATCGGTCCCTGTTATTCCACACTACTCTTTGTACTTTCAAGAATATGATTTTCCCCATGCTGCACAGCAATGGACTTATTTACAAATTGCTGATACCATATCTGCCACTACTCAAAAATTTACCCTTATTGCTGAATTTAAGTGAAAAACATTTTAATGTGAGCAGCAGGGAGTGTATGAACAGTAAATTTTCTTATTTGTTAAAGTGGCTTTAAAAGAAATTTGTCCTGTACTCAGCAGAAAATCATGGCTATAGTTACTGAGGAAGTCAACTTTAGCAGTTATGGTGATAGGAGAAAATTCTGGCTTATTATCATATCATCAACTCTTATTTAAGGCACACTGTCATAAAAACAGGTACTGTATATGAAATTAGGCATAGATTAGGCATGGTCTCATAGAATGGTGGAAAAGGCTTGAGTAGGGACTGCCTGCTCCTGTTTCTACATCAATATAAGAGCAGTTGCAGCCATTCTTATTGCTCAGTAACAGCTTCCTCCCTACAATTATGGCGGGACGATAAAGCCATCAATTATGGTACACTTTGCTACTTGCGCCTGAGCTCCATGGTATGCAGATTCTAAAAGCCTCTTAAAGGTTTTGTATAATGCAGGAAAGACCTCACATGAAAGTAGCTGGCTAATAATAATTATGAAAAATCTCAATATATGGAGTTATCACTTTGTTTTAAAACAAAATCATCTTACAGTGTAGGAATACAGATAGGGTTAGACCATGGCAGATACATTTTAGAGAAATTAGAACGATTTTGAATCTGAGATGAATAAGTTGTTTTGGTTGCTTAATGGCGAGGGAGTAGGAACTGTGGAAGAACAGAATGATCTGGATGTCCATTTGCACAGACCTTTAATAATAACACACAGGTACAAAGCGGGATCAAATGGTTTAATACAATAAACTCAGGAGTACAATACCATAATAGTTGTATTACTAGACTAATAATCTGGGGGATTGTGGACATGAGTTCAAATCCACAATGGAGGTTTAAGAATTTAAATTGAATTAATAAATCAGGCAATAAAAAGTTAATATCAGTGATTGTGACCATGAAATTACCAGGCTTTGCAAAATTTATCTGGTTCTTGAATATCCTTAATAGAAGATATTGCCAGCATTACCTGGTGTTAACTTTATTTGAGGACAGTCTCACAGTGTTGTTGAGTCTTAAGTAGCCTCTGAGGTTTTCCAACAGATCATTTGAGTTGTATTCAAGGAGGCAACTTACCGGCATCACCTTAATGAGCAAAACTAAGGATGGATGATATAAATGCTGGCCTCATTAGCAATGCCCTCATCATCTGATTGAACAAAATATTGGCCTTTTTCTTGGGAGGGGGAGGTTGTTTTTTAAACAGAAACATTGTCAAATTCCAGTTGGAGTGATACATTCAGTTTTGGGAAGTGAACCTCAAGAAATGTACACTAACCTTGAAGGTGATATGATACAGATTCCCCTCATGATGTTGCAGCTTTTAAAGCAAGTGGCCTTTTCATTGCATCTCCTGGACTCAGGGGTACCAGTCACATTGACTTTTTGGAATTTCCACATTCAAAGGCTTATCATTGAATACCTCCGAAATATTGAATGCCCAAAATATAACTTGATTCAGTGATGAAAGCTATTATTACCAAATTTCAACTCTGGTACAATATGAAACAATTCAAAATGAATCAAGTCAACTTAAACCAATAAGCACACACAATTAGTGGCTTAAATTTAGTGCAACAGGTCCAGCCTGCAGTGAAATAGTAATAAAATAATGTGGTGTGAAACTCTGAAGAATAAAAACGCACTTTTGAATTAGATTTAAAAGTAAAAATGCAGCCTCAAGAAAACACCACATAAAATTAGACACAGGTTTGTATATTACCCAGACAAGAAATTATAATGTACGGCATGCACTGATGGGAAGAAACAGAAATGACATGTTATAGCATGCACTGCGGAAAGCACCAATCAATTTTGTCAAAAATCCAACACAGTCACTTAATTTCTGACTGTTTGCAATGATAAACGCTATCGTGCACAACAGCTGTAAACATTTAGGCAAAATTGCACGTCCCTCAAATGTTCCTGCAGGAGAAAGATACAAACATTTGCCAGCTACACACGCATGTGAACTGCTTCAGATTGTGAAAAGGGGGAGGGAAGGAAAAAGAAGAGAGAGAGCAGCGGAATGAAAACAAAACAGTCTACAGGGAATAATTTTTCTTTCATGCTTTTGTCAAGCTGAAGGGGGGCGCATGCGCAGCGGCGGCGAGGGGGTGGGGTAGGAGAAGGGGGCGCGGCCTCAGCCGTACAGCCTCAACCAAACTTGCCGGGTGGTGGCAAGTCCCGCCCCCTCCTCCCGCGGTGGGCGGGCTCCGATTGGAGGGACGGCGGAGGGGTCCCGGCACGGGTGGAGGGGGTACGGCGGTGGGCGATTGGAGGAAGCGTCCCGTCAATCAGGGGAGACGTCAGGCGGCTCGGCAGCAGGGTAGATGGATCCGGGTAGTTAAGGGCGGGCGGGCGGCGGAGTGAGTGTCGCCGTCGCGGCTGAAGGGGGGAAAAAAAATAAAATAATTTTTTATTTTTTAAAACAAAAGAAACGACAGTGCGCCCGGGAGCTGAAACTGTGAGGAAGATCGGCTTTCAAACTAGCGAAGAACAAAAAAAAACCTCGAAGTCTTTTGATAAATCTATAGAACTACATATTCTTTATATATATATATCTCTATCTACCGAGTGAAACACGAGAAGAGGAGAGGGAGAAAACAAAACAAAAACCGATAAGAACTATGGTGGGGGAAATGGAAACGAAGGAGAAGCCGAGACCGACTCCCGATTATTTAATGCAGCTGATGAACGACAAAAAATTAATGTCGAGTCTGCCCAACTTTTGTGGGATATTCACGCATTTGGAGCGGCTGCTGGATGAAGGTAAGCGGGCTGAGAGTATTCCTCAGGAGGGAGAGGGCCATCGACTGTCCGGCCACTATTAGACCTCCTTTCTTTACATTTCATGGAAGATACAATTCCCCCCACCCCGTTTTGGGGAAAAAAAA